GGGCGGGGGGAGGGGGAAGCAAGAACTCACATTTGCATGTCTAGTGAGTTCCCTTCACACACACCGCAGTTTGAGACCTATTGGCCGCTGTCATTCAGTGTGTATTCAGTTTTCTTCTCGTTGCCTCACAAAGGGGTATAGAGTCTTTCCAAGGAGAAACTATCCCACGCAGCCCACATGCCAAAAACTCACCTTGCTTTCTCCCCATTAGATTACCTAAGGCACTGTGTTGGTAGGTAAGCATTTCGTGGGACTAAGGTGACACATGCCTAGGGCAATCCCAGTTATTGGGGCACTGTTTGCTCGGTAGAAGGAGGCATTAGGAAGGTCATTTTCAAAATCCCTGCTTAGCCTACCTGAAGTTGCATATTTTATCGAGGGAAACGAAATCAGTTACTGTAGTGCCTCGCCTCTGGCCAGTTCAGAAGATCGGGGCAAAGTTTTATCCAAGTTCCCTAGAGTTCCTGACCCAAGATCCAATGTTCTACCCGCTGAGTCATTTTAGGGGCAAGGCAGATCGCATACAAGGACCGTGTTGGTTGGGATGAGAGCAGCCTGCTGCACGAGAGACATCCAATGACCATTCAGTGGCTTAAGGAAGATCCGAGCTTGGGTCTCTCTCTGGGTAAAAGTCTAAGATGAATGGCCCACAGTGAGGGTGGGCTCGGCTCCACGTGGTTTGTAGGCGACGAAGGTTCCTTTCGCTGTGTGCTCTTCCATTCTCTAGGCCGTTCTACCTGTCTGCATGCGAACTCAGGCTGCTGTAGGTGTCAGGTAGTGCGAAGGGGAATGAGAGCGTGGAGACAGCCCAAGAAATGCAGACACCACCCCCTTCAGAGCCCAGCAGTGAAAACCTCGCCCTGTGGTCTCCCAGAACTGAGAATGGGGCGCCTGGGTGTAACCTGACTGGGTGGCTGCATGCCCAGCTCCAATTGCATTCTTGGGGAAAAAGGAAGAACAGATACTGGCGTACAACTAGCGGCCTTCATAACTCTCCTTGAGAAACACAAAATGGCGTTGCTTTCGCCATAAAAGAGATTATTGACCCTGAAAGGAAACGTGTGTGTGTTTTTTTCATGAGCACAGGGCTTTATGCATTTAATAAGAAATGAGGCATATTTCTTTGTTGGAAATGAGTCTGTACCATTGTTCTATTGCTACTGAATCAACCACCCCCAAACCTAGTGCCATAACACAAGGATCAGCAGACTTTTCTGTAAAGGGGAAGTAGGAAATAGTTTAGGTTTTTACAGGCCATGGGATCTCTGTTGCACCTCCTCAGCTCTGCCCTTGTAGCTCTAGACAATAAGTAAGCACGTGAGCATGGTGCATTCGAATAAAACTTTATTTTCAAAAGCGTGTGGTGCTCCGGCTTTGGCCCATGGGCTGCAGATCAACTGACCGTTGGCTAAAACAACTCTTCTATTTGTGCTTATGATTTTGTGGGAGGTTAAGTTGGTTATCCAGTTAGCAAACAGTTCAGCAGAGGCTGAATCATCTGGAATGGCCTCTCTCGAGTGCCTGATGTTTGGAAGACTGGTTGGTCCAGGGGGACTGGCTGGTATGGCTCATCTCCACCCCACGTGGTCTCCAGGGGACCAGCTCAAGCTTCCTCCCGTGCTGGTCTCAGGGCAGCAAAGGCAGCCAGCCCTCGTGTGCAAGTGCTTGTGTCATGTTGGCTGGTGTCCTGTTGGCCAAAGCAAGCCTCCTGGCCAAGCCTGAGTGAAGGGGGAGAGGACAGCAAGGCCCCGTTGCAGAGGTGTGTGCGTGGGGGACAGGAGGAATGATTCTAGTCATCGTCGTAAACTAGCCACCACCACATCTTTGAAGTAATAAAGGACATTACAATTCAAATTCAACAGTTTCTTTTCTTCCTGCAAAGTCACATACAAGCTGTCTAACAGTGAAATGGCCCTTTACTGTGGCAGCAGTAGCGGCACGTGTGTAGACCTCACTCTACCAGTAAAATAGCATAAAGAATTCTATTCCAAGGGCAGAGATATGAAACCAGGATCTTAAGAATAAACAACCCGAGTTAAAGACGACTGAGCAGAGAGAGTTGTTCACCAGGCAACTAAGCCGAGGTATCTCTAGACTGTGCAGTCTTTCCCTAAATTCCCATTTCCTGCAGTGCCTACCCTTGAAGTTTCAGGGAATATAGACTCCTGCCATCTTGATAGACAGAGTGGCCTCTGGCAGCCAGTTTTCTGTCCAAGCTTTCCAAACGGTGGGATGTGTCACTAGTGTCTGTCCTTGCGTTAACTTATCGAGAAGTGTTGACGATCTGAAGCCCTGGATTTAACCTAATTGAAGGGGTGGTGGGTTAAAACCCCTTGAGCTTCTATATATGAGTCACTGGAGGAAATGGGTTTTGTAAGCTAATCATGTAAAAGAAATTTACCAGATAAGTATTAATAATCATTTATCTTCTTTACAAAAAAAAAATGATAACATGCAGGAGACACCATTTCATCTGTAATGCCAGTCACATTGTTTTTGCAAACCCTCCTCTGCTGGGAATGTTGATGGACTAGTTGAGATGCTCCTAGCACGTTAGGAAAGCAAACTGGTTCCATGTTCTGTGGAATAAACTGTATTAAACTCCTAGAGTGCAGCCATCATTGAGGATTACTAGGTGCTGGCTACAGGTGAAATCCATCATCCATTGAAAAGGTCTTCAGAATCCTTTGAGGACCTGTCGTCTCTCTCTCTCTCTCTTTTTTTTTTTTTCAGATGAAAAAGACAACAACTAAAGCTCAGAAAGGTTAGGGAACTTGCCCAAGGTCTAGTGGTGGGCTGGTAAGCTGACTGACAAAGGGGAAATTAAACCCGAAGTTAGAGTGTTTACCAATGTGTGTGTGTGTGTGTGTGTGTGTGTGTGTGTAAATAATCACAACTTGGCTGATGTCAAACACCCAGTGTGATGTCAGGGAAGGGGGTGTTGGGAAGAGATGCGCTTTATCAGCTACCGTGAGCCAGTGGGTGGTGTCTGAGGCTCGCCACTGCCAAGATCACACGCATAACAGGAAGTCAGAGAGTCAGGAGTTGAGCTTCTGGCTGTCTACACAGTCCATCTGTTAAGTTAATAATGCCTTCTGCCATCATAAACTAGTCACCTGACAGATCACCATAATCACCATCAGTGATATCTTTAATCCCAGAAACCATAGATGCTTCTTTTTTAAAAATATATTTTTATTTCAAAGAGGAAGGAAGAGGGAGGTAGAGATAGAAACATCAATGATGAGAGAGAATCATTGATGGGACGCCCCCACTGGGAATCGAGCCCGCAACCCAGGCATATGGAACCCGGGACCCTTAGGTCCACAGGCTGATGCTCTGTCCACTGAGCAAAACTGGTTAGGGCCATAGATGCTTCTTTATTTTGCTTTGGAAACTAATACAGAAGGTACTCTCTTGGAATTCTGCAACCACCTCATGTTAGAGGCCAAGAACACCTTTATTCTTCCCATTACTAGAGTCTTCTCTCTCCGTGTTTACCTGGATCTTCTGCAATTTTTTGCTCATGCTGCTTCCTATCCATATTCCATTGCCGCCTGTCACCTTAAATCTGTATAGTGGCCCCCAACACATTTATTGCTGTTGCCTATTGTTTGCTGCTTTTTTCCCCCTTTTCATCCAGTTTTTTTTTCCTTACCTTATAGCATCCCTTTTCACACTTCTGCTCTTTAGTTCTTCCACACGCTGGCATTCCTTGGCATTCCTTGTTTGAACAAGTAGATAGATGGGTAGAAGTCTAATTACTAAAACAAGGTGGGTTCACATTTTAAGAATTATATAACTACTCCACACCAGAGGATTCTCATCTGCAAACGGGGATAATGATAGTACTTACCTCGTATTGTATGCGTGGCTGATCAATTACACAAGACAAAGAGGAATTATGGGAGAAATAAATACCGAGGGTCTGAGATGGGAGTAAGGGTGATGCCTGGAGAACACGTGAAATCCAACATTATTTTATGCTGATGAGACCATCACTTGATGTCTGATTGGGAAAATAGAACTTTTGTAAGTGACAGCATTTTCCACAACATGAGAGAAAATTGTACTTGGGTACTTTCTGCACCTAACAGATTTCATACTGAGTATTTTCACCCTTTGCTAAAATAAATAAGACGCTTAAAATACCGTTACCATAGGTGGAAAGAATGACAAATGAGAAAAATCTGTTTTCCTAAAGAATCTTATGTCCTGAGCTTAAAAAAAATAAAGCCATTTTGCACATTGGTATGAATTTATTTCTGATTAGTAAGAGGGAAATTTTGGAAGCGTACCTGTGAGGAGGACCCTGTGCATGTTAGTACAAGCCAGAGCAAAGGAGAGTTTTCAAACTCATTAGAATTTCCATAATTTTATTGAACAGCTGAATTGAAGGGAGTGGATGCCCAGCAACATTTTTCACGTATATGTACTTCTGTAGAAAAGTAACAAAGCGAAACAAAAACACTCTAAGTTAATTCTTCTCTTTTACAAAATGAGCCCCATTGTATATTTTCTTTCTGTAGAAAGATAGACTGTAAACTGCAAAGGAGTTAACTTAAAATGACAGTTCTCACCATTGATAAGTAAAACAAAAATCTTACCTCCTGTTTGATGGGTTATTCCTGTGGCTCCATGGCAACACTCGGCGCCGTCTTGATTTTCTGTTGAAATTATTATTTTTATTATGCAGCACATCCTAGAGTTTTGAAGAGTTGCACAGAATGGTGAATAAGGGAACTTGAGGGGGGGCGTGCTAATGCATTTTCAAGTGTAACAAAGCAAATGAAAATAAATAGATAGTAAACACAGCTGCTCTAGCCTGTTTGGCTCAGTGGATAGGGCATCAGCCTGTGGACCCAAGGGTCCCGGGTTTGATTCTGGTCAAGGGCACATACCTCGGTTGCAGGCTCCTCCCTGGCCTGCGCCCTGGTTGGGGCACGTGCAGGAGGCAACCAATCGACGTGTTTCTCTCACGAAACACATCGATGTTTCTCTCTCTCTTTACGCTGTCTGAAAATCAATGGAAAAATATCCTCGGGTGAGGATTAACAAAAAAAGAAAAAGAAAACAGAGCTAATTGAGAAGACTGAGGTTCCAATGGAATACAGCCGCCAGTGAGAACAGCAACGAACTCTGAGTCAGGAATAGAGCCACGAGTGAATGCGATTTTACATGGTTAATTATAAGTAACCGCAAACATAATTTGTAAATCGAGTACCAGACAGGAAGATGGAACGCTGCTGTCACACTATAGAAAGCCACATTTCCAATGACCAAGAGGAGACGCTCTGGGGCTGTAATAATGTCAGCAACTAGAAGGAAATTCTGGGGAGAAAAATCATTGATTTTCACCCATAGTCTCCTAACAACTGGGACGTACTGACAATGGCATGAATACAGCTTCTGTGTAAAGAAAATAAATCTATGCAATATAATACCTTGCTCTTTCCGAGGTCAAAGGGTTCCCTTCACTCTTCCAATGGCGGTCCTTGTGCAGTTTCACCCGGAGCCGACAGAGGGAGCAGCCGGGCCATGACACTCAGACCGGCGTTCCCGGGCAGGGAAAGAACTCGCCTTCTTCCTCTCCAGGGACTTGCATGTCGTTTCTCTTCAGATACTGGTGCTGCCATAAGGTGTGAGCTTCACGTATGCAACATGGTCACTGAGAGCATTCACTTTATTGAGAGCAAATATGGGCGAGGGGGTTCGTTCTTTCGCGTAAAACTTCAGACGGTCCTAAATCTCATACCATTCATCATTCTGGGCTAGATTATTGTCAACCAGTAAAACGACTTTTAAACGTTTACGATCATTTACTTGCTCTGTGAAAACAAGGATCACGGATGAAGCGTAAACCCAAACATACCCTGGTTTCAACAGATTGTAGAGCAGAAGTGGTGAGAAGGCGAAGTACGTACGTAATAAAGAAATGTACAGAGGAGTGGGGATTCGTCACCAAGTGCGAACGAAAGCTCTAATAACGACGGGGCTGCGAACACAACATCCAGGGAAAAGGCAAGGCACGCGCTCTGGCATTTCTTCCTCTCCACGTTCTCATCATCTTTCTGGGCCTCATTTTATGTTTAGGTTATGAAATTCATCCTAATGAATAAACACATGGAGTGCTCCCCACGTGAACTAGCAACGTAAACGTCGATTTTACAGGCCCTTCCTATCATCACTCTTTTGTCAAGATGTTGTATTTAATAGTTTTGGTTTTTTCAAAAATAGTAGACTACTATCACTCCTCAAAGCCTTATGTATGTAAGCAGCCGTTTCATTATTGAACCTTGCTTTATATTTTTATAGGAACTCTCATTTCTAGAGAACCATGGAGAAGGTTTACATTGACCGTTTTGGGGGAATATGTGGTTTGTCACGAGCAATATAAATAAGTACATTAATTGCCTTATTATACTTGTATCAGACAGATGGGTCCCCAGGCACAGAGCCTAACCCCCACATTTTGCCAGGCCTGACCTGTCGTCTCTGCCGGAGCATTGCTGTGCTGGTCACCGTGGTTGCCCTAATCTCCAGCTTTAGAAAGCAGGCTATTGGGACCCTCCTGAGAACTGGGGCTACCCGTCACCCGATACAACAACATAAACCCCTGCACAGATCCATCCAACAGCCCTTCCCTCCTGTGACTCAGAGGCACATCTCTTAGTTCTGTGTCCTCCGGGCTCAGTAAGAGTCCCTGGGGCTCACTGTAATCTAAGCCCCCGTGTCGTCAGCCTCTGACATGGCCACTGAATGCAGCTCCCAATGTAAGCATGCACAGAACCTTGGGAGATGGTAGAAAATCCTTTCTTCACTGAGTAGACCTAATTCCAGAGTCTGTCATCTTAACATTTAGAATGTACTGGGGAATCATCAAGGAAATGTTTACACTAAAAGATACATCTTTACTACAAAGCAAGGATGCTATTTTAGTATAGCTGAGGGGTTAAACATAATCTTGAACACTTGATTTATAAAACAACCCACAAGTGTCAGGGCAATAAAACGTGTTTTGAGGATCACTGTGCCCTTCATCTCACACCCCCACCTTGGATTTCTGGGGTGGTTCCGGAAGCCACTAGCACATGCTACGGGTCTGGTTTAGTACAAACTGCAAGCACAGGTGTGGTCCGTCAGACCATGGAGCTCTGCCAACGGGTAGGCAGACCGAGGGCAGGTGAGGTATGCAGGCTTTGCTAGGTGAGGCAATTTGGTATCACTTCAAGGGATTCCCTCCTTAAGCAGAATCAGACTAGACTTAACTGGAAAATGTAATCAACCATTTTCAAAGAAGTAGAAGAGTAGATAGTAGGTCATAGGAGAGAGGTGTTTGGTAGCAAGCAGTCCCACCAGACACACCTAATTCGACTTCCCTTCTCATCACAGACCGAGAGCCCAACTGGCGTTGAGGGTGCTAACGTCTTTCAACTATGGCATCAATTGTTTCTGACACAAGCTTATTTGGTATAATGGGGAAAGCCTTCAGCTCTATCTCAGATAAGCTAAGTTTCTTGAATAATTCAGAGACCCATTTATGCCAGCTAGAGTATATTTACACACTGCAAGAAATAATGGGATCTATATCTTAGGACATTCAAAGAGAAGGCAGTTTCAAGCCTGGGGCTAAGGGATATGGGACTCGGAAGGTAATTCTAGAGTTATGCAGTTTTTTATGCCGCAGCCCAAGCAGCGGTTGGACCTTTAATGATCCATCTTCCACTTTTGTCCCTGCCCAGCCCAGCGTTTACAGCTCACCCAGAGTTGCAGCTCGCTCAGAATGGAAGCATGAACAGAACCTCGGGAGGTCTTAGAAAACCCTTTCTTCACTTTGTAGATCTAATTCCAGGCACCAAAAACAAACACACACACACAAAGACCCTGATGGGCCCAGCTCATCATTTCAAGTCTGGCCATAGATGGCGGGCCAGCCTACCCTTAGGTTCCAGCGCCATCAGGTGTAAATGGTGGCAGGAGATCACCTGAGGGTAGACATGGCCACTTAGGCGGCAGATGTCTGCATGAGCAGGAGGATCTCAGAAGGGATACGTCATGCTTGACGCAGCCCATCCTCAACGTGGGGTCCAGGCACTGGAGCTGGTCCTTTTGATGCTTGTTACCCTTCAAACCGGCAAGCCCATGGAGGAGAACCATTTCAGAAACTCTTGAGCCATTTGTGCAAGTCCTTCCATGGCGGCCCCATCTAATAATTAACATTTGGATTTGTTTCTTGCATATATTTTTGTTCATTTTTCTGGCAGTTCATTTATCTTATATTATTTAAAGATAATGGCTGGTGACAGATGGGGAGTGGGCGGGAAACTGGTCTTTCGCTACAGATATTTTGAGAGGTCCTGGTTTGGAAGACTCCAAGATTCTAATTGTGGGATCCCTCCCCCACCCTCCCCCCACCTCAGCTAATGAAGGAATAATGACTAAGTCTTTAAGTCAAATTATAATCCTCTGAATACCAGTTTCCTCCTAAACAAACAGGGACTATAATGCTGTCACTCACCTTCCCAAGCTATAGTCAGGCAGGAGATAATATGGGAGAATGAAGTTTAAAAAGATGTAACAAGCTCATCAGAATTGTTACTATATTTTACTGTTAAAGTATATACAGATATATAGATAGATAGATAGATAGATAGATAGATATAGATACACATAATAACACATACATGTCATATGGGAGAATAAGGAGTTTACACTCAACATTTCCCTCATAAGCATGTCATGGCTCTCCTGTGTAGAATGTATGGTATGGCAGTGGAGATTTGTGGAGTTTTTTTGCTCGATTATGTTTTATTTGCTAGCTTTTGCAAAAGACAAGTAGATGGCGACTGACAAAGATTTACTCAGGATGCACTCTGTTCTCAATAATTCATGGGCAGTAACCACGAGTTAAATCAGAAGTATTTATGCAGCGTGACGTTCTGAGAATGGCGAGGAAGACGTACATACATGGGAAGTTGATGACAGCAATATGAAAGACTGCAGGTGTTGGAGGGAAGGAGAGGATTTCATGCTGGTGAGCGGGGAGATGTAGAGAACGGGTTGGATTATACAACATCTTGAACAGATGAGAGATGGAAAGGTGGGAAGGGAAAACTAGGTTACCCAGGTAGGACAAACTCAGGCAGCCGTGTCGAGCCAGATGTATATATAGTAGATGAGTGTGTGGGTGTTCCAGTAGATAGACAAATAGATAAATGTCAGAAAATCAATGAAATTAGGAAATAATAAACTAAATTTAAAACGCTGAACATGAAGTTACAGTAGGCAATCTTAACTTTTTGGTTGTTTTCCCCACCTAAAGCATGATATGTAATTATTAAAACTGGGACTCCTGAGATAGAATTGCTTCTACATATACATCGTTTACTGTCACATATCTTAAAATGCAAATGTTAACAAATGCAAAATGATTTAACAAACAATTCTGTCCAAGTAAAATGCCCTATTTTATATTAAGTGATAATTTTTTAAAAGTCTCCTAAACAATTCAAAGGATAAACACGCAATTATGAAAATATTGGCATGCTTTCCTGCGGCCATCTGGCACCTCAGTCTAATGTAAAGAATAAGAAACTCAGGCAAGAGAATTGCTCCCTCTAAGAGGCCCTTGAGCACCTAAGCAACTTTATTTCTGTACAATAAGGTCATCATAATCGAATCACCAACCACTACAGCCTTCTGTAAACATGCACTTCTGTACGTGCCTCACTTAGACAAGCCCACCTGATGGGAATGCCGTTATTTTAAGACATAAGCACAGCGATATTCTTAGTCGTGCAATTTAGTCATTTCCTTGCAGGTTTTTGGTATTTCAGCATTCAACTATGACAGCAATTTGAAGTCTCAAGGTACTAGTATGTATAGTATTGTCTTATTTTTTTATTCTGACATTCTTTACATCATACGATTTAAATTAATGATTTAATTGTTCACTTTACACCAAAAAAAGAGAGAGACAGAGAGAGAGAGAGAGAGAGAAAGGCAAATCGAAAAATGGTCTACAGCTCTAAAGAGGTCCCTGCCTTGCCCAGGTGAGCAGTGCTGTGAGCGTGGATTGCCGGAACCCCCCGGCGCGGGCGGCGTGTACACAGACCACGTGGGAAGCGAGGGCAGCCATCCGGGAGGCATCTCCAAGCGCACAGCCCAGACTTAAAGGCGGCAGAGACACACTGGGAATGTTTAAACCAAGGAGAGAGAGAAACGACAGCTCTCATCCAATTTTAAAACTGCAGTCCTTGAAAAAAAGTAATTAAAAAGATCTTAAAATTATCAAACAAGAAGTAAAATTATTTAAAAATGAAGAAACTGGAGGAAAATGTGTAGAATTAGTTTTCATCTCCTCGGCAGTGTTTCCCCACCGTGTAGACGTGGAAAAAGCTTATTGAGCAGTTAGAAAAATCCCTATTGGGTCAAATATATTTGTCTAGCCTTTTTAAAATTTTATTTTATTGATTGGAGTAACATTGGTTAATAACATTATGTAAGTTATGAGTATCCAATTATATTTTTTTATTCTGTATCTTTTAAGATACATTCCCTGTCTTTTCTTCCCTCTTGTCTCTAAGTTCCTTGAGAAATAGGGCTTTGTGTTATTTATCTTTGTGTCCCCCTAGACTAAGGGTGAGGGATGTCCGGCCTGCGGGCCCTGTGAGGCCTGGGAAATCATTTGGTCTGGCCCTGCCAAGGTGTTACGGGTGAGGTAATGAAATATTTGGCCAAATAGAGCAGGCTAATTTTTAAGCTGATCATTTTGTATGGCCCCGCAAATGATGTTATAAATATCCAAATGGCCCTTGGCAGGAAAAAAAAGGTTCCCCACCCCTGCCCACCAGCGGTCGTCGGCAAACTTCGGCCCCTTGAGTGTGGCTCTTCCACAAAATACCACGTGCGGGCGTGCACCTACAGTGCGATTGAAACTTCGTGGCCGCACTCAAGGGGCCAAAGAGCCGCATGTGGCTCGTGAGCCGCAGTTTGCCGACCACTGCCCTATCAGCACTGGTTTCTGGGATCTCAATGTACATGCTCTCATTGTGAATCACAAATGAACGACATAGCTTCCTCCCTCCCCCTGCCCCATCTCTCTGACACCCCAGTTTCACGATGGGATCCTCTTCAGATCCAAGCTAATAAGCAGGCCAGAGTGTCCTTCCGCCCGGATGCACACTGGAATCTCCGAGAAGATTGTGAGGAACACGAATGTTCCAGCTCCGGGGATTCTGAGTTAATTGTCCTGGGTGGGATTCAGTACATGGTATTTTTAAACGTTTCCCAGGCAATTTGAAGTATGACCAATGTTAAAAAAAACTTTTGAGCGACAGAGTGTGGGCTGGGGAAATCTGAATTTTGAATTTAGTTTAAGATTCATTTTCATGTAGTATATTTACCCCAACAATCAAATTTACCCAAAATGCATCCTCTCACTGCCTCTAGCATCAGACGTCGATCGTTCATAGACCTCCAGCTAATAGAAAATATACATAGAGAAAAGAACTCTTTGTAACAGAAAATTAGACTTTTAACATCTACATGACATTATCTGAGATTAGCCTCCTCAAAAAGAATATGTTGCAAGACCGGAAAGAAAGCATCATAATTTATGCCCCAGCCTTTTATTCTCTTCACACAGTTGTCTGTTCATTTGACAAGCATTCATATTCGATTATGTGTTGGTAGTTTATAATAGCAATTTTAATTCACACAGAAGGGATTCCATATCAGGCTAAGTAAAATTCGAAAGTTTATAGACCTTATGTGATCACTAACAGTATTGATTATCCTTGGAGTTGCTGGGACCTGGGGAAGACCTTCAAGCTCATTACAGGTTTGATATATATATTTAATATATATATTTTTGTTGATGTTTCCCATTTCCCGCCCTGTACTCTCTCCCTCCCATCCCCTACCTGCCCCTCCCCCCAGGTCTTCAACACCCTATTGCCCGTGCCCATGGGCTCTGCTTATAGGTATATAAGTTCTTTGGCTTATCTTTTCTCATCCCCCCAACCCCACATCGACGTATGTCAATCTCCCAACCTCCCTGCTTCGGGTCTTACTTTGTTGGTCAATTCATTTTGTTCATTAGATCCCACAGATAAGGGAAATCATGTTTTGAATCCTTTACTGAGCTTTAAAGAGAAAAGGGGGATAAATGACATAATCACTTCTGAGTCTTTAATAGTCCCATTATTACTTCTTGTTCTCTTTTTAAATGCAGATCTGACATGTATTTGGGAATACTTCTTAGCAGGGACTCTAGTCACGAACTCATGGCGTCGCCGTGTGATTTGGGAAAGGCGCCATTTCTCAAGACACTTTGTGTCCATCTGTAGGCAATTTGTCACAATAAACTAATTTTATTGGAATGGGGCCCTATACTGCCATCTGCCAAAAAATATAACAAACACTAAGTCTGTAGAGTCTGCAACTCGAATGGCTCCCTAGGTTCTGCAGGGAGCAACCTGTGGGACCGGGTACAGCTCAGTTCTTCCTTGTTGCCCTTGACAGAGGATGTTTCATGTGACAAGAAAAACACGTGCTTCGGAAGCACCAAATCAGAAGCAGAAAGCTATAGAGGTGAGCAGTATACCACACAGTTAGTACAATGCGCCCCCCTTAAGAAGTCACGACTATTGCACACGGTTTCAGGTGGACAAAAGGCTCCGAGATTAAAACATTGGGCTGTAAACGTGACCTTCTGGTCTGGATTCCCCAAATTCTTTAACAGTTTAAACAAAATTTATTGTTTGCTTAATCCAAAATCTCAATTCGTTCTCTCAATATGATTACAAACCACCAATAAATGGTCAGTGTCCATGGGACAAAGTAGCTATAGAAGAACGTGTCTGACGAAATTTCTCCCATCTCAGTTTATAATCTCAGATACAGTCCCAGATAAAATCTAACCTGTTATTTAACAAAACCAGCTGCGAGCCTGTCAGATATAGAATTAATGGGTTGACATTGACCTAAATAAGTCCCACATTTTCAAATCGCTCTTTCCAGAAGGGACCACATCCTTAAGTCACCTACAATACACAGATATCTGTCTTTTTAATAAAGATTAAGGGTGCACGTTATAATAAAAGCTGCCTCATTTAAATCCCTGGTGTTTATAACTTAGCCTCTTGTCTCTTGTCCTCCCGATGTGAGAATGAATAGAACAAATATCAAGGACGTAGAATGTGGCAAGCACTATGTAGGAGGTACAATTTTTAAATACATGCAGAGTCCTTTTTTATTTTTTAATATATTTTTATTGATTTCAGAGAGGAAGGGAGAGGGAGAGAGAGATAGAAACATCAGTGATGAGAGAGAAGCATTGATCGGCTGCCTCCTGCAACCCCCACTGGGGATTGAGCCTGCAACCCCGCATGTGCCCTTGACTGGAATCGAACCTGGGACCCTTCAGTCCGCAGGCCGACGCTCTATCCACTGAGCCAAACCAGCCAGGGCAGAGTCCTTTTTATTAATGCATTTAAACTATTTTCAGGCAAGTTACACTGTTAACTTCCTGTTGAACAGGTGGATGAAGCATCAAGCAGTTAATGACAGTATCTTTCACAATGTGGATACGGCGGAGGATAATCTCAGGTTCCCATTAGAAGGTAGGCTGCCCAAGCACAAGATTTGACAAGTTGTTAGTAACATGTAACCAACACTATTTCAAATATGAAGACAAGGGCTTTTAAAGATCTGGACCAATCATTAGTTGTTAAATACCTGGAATGCCCAGGTTTCATGAATTGAGACAACCAATCAATCAGTAAAACTGAGCCATGCCTTTTCATCACCACGGGGTTTACCTGTTTCGTTTTCTTAACTATTTCTTCATGTTCTCTTCCTTCTAACATCTCTCAATAATTCTTTTTCCATTCAGCTTCTTACTTTCACCCCAAACTATATTAACACATTAAAATTTCCCACAATTCTTTTTCTTTCTGTCCTTATATTCGTTCCTTCTTTATATTCTTTCCTTTATCATGGATTACCTTAGATCTATTAGAACATTTAATGTGTTCAGTTTACTAAGAAGGATTCCATGTGGTGCCAATATCTATATTGTCCTGTTTTCTCCTGTTTTAAGTGGCCCTATTAAGAGGAGATATATTTTTGTTTGTTTGTTTCTGTTTTTGAACATTTTAGGTGTCGAATGTTTGTACTTGTTCATAGTAGTTTCTCTTTTAGTGTATTTCTAACCTTGTAATTTGTACAGTAAAAAATAACCCTCGAATGCTGAGACGTGAGAGGTAAAAGAGACACCTCTGTCTTCGTGTTTCCAAAGGAAGTCACGGGGCACAACTGGCGTTGCTTATTGGGCACAAAAGTTTGGGGAGTCTGAGAGAAG